TGGCCACCTGTGGAGCACAAAATACAGCAGACCAGTCAGCAACCGAGAGTGATTTCTCGTCATAAGCCAACCTCATTCGACCGACCAACCGATATTGACTTTCTCGTCGGCACAATTACCACGCACTCGCACTGGAATGAGGCACGATGGAGGGTGTGGTTCGTATCTATGGTACGTCTTAGTCTCTGTCGCGGTAGAGAGCTGCGTCTCGACGAGTTGCCCTGCAATTATGCTCCGTCGGTGTGAGAGTGATCGAAGCTCTGAGAGTGATCGAAACGCTGCGAAACCTCCAAGGGTACCGCGTTCACTCCCTTGTGGCAGAAGCCTCCTCTTCAACGCTTCAATCCTCCAGTGACAGCAACTACAAGCTCGAAATATCAATGGCTTGGTAAATAGTTAATAACTTGTTAGCTATATACCTCTTGTCTCTCGAATTTCATCCACTATACCTGCAGAACAAGAAAATAGTGCTGATAATTGTTTTGGTCATTTAGCTCCACACAATCGTAATTCTCACAACTACATCACACGTATCAGCTTGCTCGATCACTTTCTCACACATTTTGGTTCGTGCAGACGATTCCACTGGGTCGTCCGAGGAGCCGCTTTCATGACGCCTGTACTGACGAGAAGAGTAACATCGCTAGATTTTTAGGAGCACTGCCATTCTTCCTAGCGCGCGTCTCCATCCAAACCGCGCAGCACGAAAAATTTTGTGAATTTTGCGCGAGATATTGATCGTTGATGTTTCAGCACAGCATGTAGAGAGAGTCTGCGCGAAGGCACACAGCGCCGACGGGTCTGATCGTGTCAGCGAGCGATGCAAGAAACGCGATGAGTCATCGACAGAGAACGCATTATGCATTCAGCTCATCGATGAGGAGGCAGCTGGCGTCGCGCTTTGAGACTCACAGTAGCATCGACGTTGGGCTACTACGAGTCGTCTATCCGGATGAGACGGTAAAATGCGCCAAGTCACCTACGCTGTCGTCGTCATGCAGCGTCTACAGGTAATGAACAGAGTCTAATTTCCGTTCTCTCTTCACGCACGCAGCTACGAGAAAACACGTGAGTAAGTCTGTCATGTCGATGCTTACATTGACGACTCACGAGCTGAACCTGTGTGTTGTGGTGCAGATGTGATAGATCATGAAAGGACTACGACTATTTGGACACTCAGCAGAGCTGCCAAAAGAACTGTGACTGCCAGTGCCAACTGCGATCGGACCTCGGGCACAACGTTTGCTCATCTAGAGAATGCATGGATGGGGGAATATCAGCACTCGGCTGGCGACACCGCAAGTGGGCTCCTCCTCGCCCTCGCCTCTCTTCGTTTCTCTTTTTTCTTCTATCTAACAATACAACTTTCGTATCAGGCTTCTCTCTCCAAACTTTTGTGTGTGAGTTTTGGGACCTTCTGTTGATTATTGTTTGTGCCGCTACAAATTCCTTGGGTCAATTCAAATGAGGGTGCGGCTATATCCATCACTGCTGTACATGAATGCAGTGTGAGGTGTACAGTGATGTGTGCTACAGCGAGACGAATAGTACCCCGTGTGGAGATGTGACAGGAAGGAGCGGGCACGTCGGGGAAGAAGACGACGTGTGGTGTATCTGAGAGACGTGCTCAAGAGCACCAGAGACAAGTGTGGAGCATCTCCACCTCTCTTCCTCTCCTTATACCCTATATAGCATTAAATGTGGAGAAGAAAACTTGTAAGAGATATGTATTTTGCTATGAGAAAGCTATTCATGGGTTGTAATGATCCCTGCCAACACAGTTGAAGTGGCGCTTCCGTGGTCGTATCTTTCACAATTTGCAGTCTTTCTCAGTATCGTATCGCTTCATTGGATGGTTTCTCTGAAGGGGTATAGTCATAGAGTGTAGGGTGTGTGTGTGAGCCACGTACCACTGGATCTAAAATAACACTGATCTGTAGACAAGACGTACTGAGTGGGGAGGCTGTCAAAATAGAGAAGCCAAGCAACACTGTGTATGTATATCCTGTCACGCTTTACTCATGCATGTGCCTAATCAAATCCTTAACACTCTTGAGGTTTGGTCTGCGAACAAGAGGCGAGATAGGGATTAGTAAAGCGAAATAGGGATAGGAGCAGCGAGATACTGTATGTTACTATTCCATACTCAATCTTTAGGCAAAGTATTAGGCATAGTTGGTTTGCCTCTTCTTCACTCATCTGCCTAATCAAAAATGGAAAATCATTAACACCCTTATGGTTGGGGTGTGGTCTATATATGAGATAAGGATGAGATATGGATAGGTGCAGCAAATGCAGTATATTAATATTCCATACTCTAAATGTTTGTCTCTTCTTCCATTCACACTCCTATGAAAAATGAAAAATCGTTGAACCACCAAAAATCAAGTATTATTGTTCAAATGTGGTATATATGCAAAACACATTTGGGTGGATTACAGCAAGCGAATAACGATCATGATAATCACCAATGCAGGAAATAGGTAGGCTAGGAAGAAACTCTGGGGAAAACCAAAATGTAATTGAACAACCCATTCAGTAGGAAATGTCTCCGTGAACAATGTAGTAGCTACATTATGGTGCCCGGGAGGGACATCTGTTGTTGCCCTTTATTTTCAACCCTTCCTTTTGTCAATGGCCCCATATGTTTTGTGCTTTACTTACAGTTTCCTTCTCAGAAAGAAAACACGTGTCCTGTACAGCTACATTATGTTCTGCTGAGGGAGAAAAAAACAGTACAGAGAGAAACAAGGGTCATGTTACTATCCCAGTGTGTCTGGTGTTGTGTGGTACTGTCAGTTCTGGCCGTGTCAGTAGTGACGGCTAGCAACTACAGCTGTCCCACCTGGTTCTACTACAGTAACACCACTCAGAGGTGTGAGTGCGGATTTTCGACACTAGGGTGGATTGTCTGCGACCAAGAGACTAAGATAGTTACGGTAAACAGGGAGAATTGTGTGACCGACTCTGGGCAAGATGGTCTCTACTACATTGGAAGATGTCTACTGAACTACAAGTTCAACAACACCAACAGGGTGTTCTCTGAGCTGCCTACTGATCCAGACCTACTCGAAGACATGGTGTGTGGTCCCTACAATAGAAAGGGTCTTCTGTGTGAACATTGCATCGATGGATATGGTCCTGGGGTATACACCCTTGACAGTGCATGTGCCGATTGTTCAAAGTTTTCCACATTATCAGCGATCCTCCTGTATCTGCTGGTAGACTTAGTTCCCATCACGCTGTTCTTCATCTGTGTGGTTCTCTTTCGTCTTAACGTCACTGCCGGTCCACTGCTTGGGTATGTGCTCTTCTGTCAGATATTCTCGGTTTCTCTAAAATATGAACCACTCATTTATCATTACACTCAGTCTCAACTATCACCAGTCCTTGTATCAGTTCTCTTCATAACCTTTGAGTCGTGGAACTTAAATTTCTTGAAGCTTCATTCCCACCATTTGCATCACAGTGAAAAGTTAAAGGGATTCACGTACTAGCACTCAACTCACTGTCTTGCGTTTATCCCATATTTCTGTCATGGTCTAGTGGTGGTCATTGAGCTACATTCAAGGAACAATACCATAGTTCGTGTTGCAGTAAGCCTTTCAGATTTGTTCTAAAGAAAACAGCATAAAGCTGTCACCGGTGATGCCGTTCTTCGTACCTTTGCAACATTCGTTTTTTCTCTCGACCGCCACAAATTTTTCACTTTTTACGCTTGATCATTTAATCTATTACAAAGCATTGATGACCGTCAACATTTCTTTTGGCAGATCCTACAATGATTATCTCAGTCCACTCACATCATGTTCATGATAATACCTTGTGCTCAGTGTCTATTCTCTTGTATTCATCCCATCTAATTCTCATCATCGTATCCTACAGACTCTATAGATCACTCTCCATTTATAAGTGCAGAAAGCAACTTGCAATTACAGTTTTTGTTGAAATCTCTCAACGGTTGTTTTAAAGGACGGTCTGAATGGCACTCGTGACTACAGGCATATGCTGGACTTGTAATGTTTTCCCTTTGTGGATACTAGTTGTTAGTTACTTACTTTTTGCTCTGGATTATCATCAAAATACGTTCATGCTATGTTTTTCTCACTCTTATCATTGCTATATATCGTATAAAGGCCATTCAAGTCAACCGTTACTACGTGTCAGTAGTTATGTTTCATTGTGTTTGGATTGGGAACGTTGTGGTCTATCTCTGTATACCAGGTTTCGTCTCAAGTCTGGCCCTGGAGGTGTGTCTTTCTTCCTCACTGGTATCTCTGTTCCTTGCCCAGTGGTAGTCTGGACACTATACAAAGTCACCTGCTATGTTCTGAGAAGGATTTCCACCACATGCTAGTTGTATAAACTCTGAAACAACACTTTCAATTGACTTGAATTACCAGTTTCATGGTGTGAAGTCTTGTGTGTTTCCACTAGATATTATAGTTTTCACTGCTTTTCCTTTGTATCACTATACAATGTTACAGAGCTGGCAGAATAAAGTGACAGTTCATGCGCATAGCTATGTATTCTCTATGTGAGGATATTACATGATCCACGTATAAAACACCTATGTACTCTCCATACTTATTGGGCCCAGGCATTCCATCCACCATTGTCGGCCCTTCTCTCTATAAATTATACTGAAACATTATACTCAAGTGTTTCTAATTAGAACGTCAGTTTGAATAATACACTCATTTTGGCTATAATATTGTGGCATACAATCAAGAAAAGATATACACGATACGGTATGACTACCACAACTTCCTCTATTTTCTAACAGTTGAACAGGTTTTCTTATGCTGGGGCCAGTGCAGTCGCTGGCATTCCAAACTGCAGTACAAGGCATCTCGACATTTACAGTGTTGCAAAGAAGACTTTGTCTTGCCGCAATTGTAGCATTTATAATCTTTCCTGGAGGCTTTAATGTCTGTCATTCTCTTGCTTTCAGTGTCTGTCACTCTCTTGCATTCAGGAGAGGAATGTGGTTTGGTTAGATCTTGTGAGGCTCTGACACAAGCCTCACTGTGTACTGGCTGCTCAAGTGTCTTGCAGAGTTCACTGCAGTAGGACACCTGCTTGCACTTACAGGTGATAGTTGCTGGTTTCTTGCACCTTTCACATTCATTGCCAGTAGTATGCTTCCAAGGTGAGTGAGTTTTCGGTTTTCCTGTTGGGACTTGTGGCTCTTCTGTTGAATCGGATGAGCGGACTTTCGTTGTAGTCATGTGACAAGACAATTTTTTGCATTTCTCGCTGTGCCCAGGCCGTTCTAGTGTTTGACATGCCTTGCTGCAGTAGGACACCTGCTGGCATTGACAGACTATTGCTGCAGGTTTCTTGCATCTTGCACATTCTGCACCGACAGGAACACGTGTCGCATTTTCACTGCTTACTTTTTCTTTGGAATTAACTTTCTGTGAAGTGCTATGGAATGGTTGTTGGCATTTCTCGCTGTGCCCAGGCCGTTCTAGTGTTTGACATGCCTTGCTGCAGTAGGACACCTGCTTGCATTGACAGACTATTGCTGCAGGTTTCTTACATCTTGCACACTGAATGGTGTCTGCAGTTGGGGAGGAGCTCTTTACATCTTTCTTAGCTTCGTCTCTCTTTTCTTCGACAAATTTTGGATTATCATTAGTCGATTCACGAGACAAGGTGGCGTCGTTCTGCTTGCAAATGAGGCTGTGAAAATCCCTATGCATTTCCTGGCATTCGCTGCTACAGTAGCTTGCTTTCTGACACTGCTCACATTTCAAAGGCACAGCTGAGGCTTGGCAGATAGAGCAACCATCGGTTTTCTTCTTCTTCCTTGGCCTATCATTAAATCCTGCCTGGTAGGAAGATCTCCAGGCCGCCTTATTCCACTAGTAGCACCAAGGAACTTTTTGAATTTTTGATATGTTGAATTGGCAGGGTTTGGGTAGAGAGGAAACAGTATTGCATGGTCAAAATGTTCCCACAGCTTGTGTGCTTCAATTGCCCTTGTGACAAGCTCACAATCACTGCGAATGGACAGCGGAATGGTGGAAGAAAATAATTTGAAACATCTTTTAGAAACTCATATTCTGCATCATTCACCATTACATTACCTGAGAAACCAAGACTTTTGAGTAATTCATTGGCCAGTCCGAGAAAGTCACGTGATAGATGCGTTGGTTTTGTGTCACAGAAACAGTAAGACACATCGAGAGCAGGAGAGGAAAAAACAGTGTTAAATCGTAAATTATGAACAAACACAAGAGCATAAAGGTCAGGAGAATTGGCAAAATGCTTGCTTGGAAATGAATAAGTGAAGAATTTACGTCCATCCAAAGCATGCTTAAATAACTCTGTGAATGACTGTTTTGCATTAAAAAGGGGATGATCTGACCTGTTGTACGATGCCTGAAGGCTGCAAAATATTTCCATTGCATCAATTCCCAAGTGAAACTTTGGATGAGTTATTGGATTCCTTGGATTAATGTGGTAGGTTGATTTCTCGTTTAAGACGAGATAGCCGTCATGCTTCACCACCACAGAAATTATGCGATTCTTCTTGGAAACTTTAATGTGCGTCTTGGATTCATCAATGGCATAAGGATAAGAAATGGTCAATTTTAAGTCACCACAGAGTAACTGAAGCTGGGTTTGTTGAAGGCATTTTGCATCCAACTTTGATTCCTTTATCATAATATTATTCATGCAGGCATCACTCATTGATATAACTGTTTCAAACATGTCGGCATCCCCAACATGCTTCGCAATGTATCCCAGTTTGCATACACCACCGTCACTTTCAGTTCTCAATGGTGTTTTCATAAACTCGTAGTCATGTGTAGGGGAAAACTCGAGGTGTTCCACCGGACCACAATACACTTCTTTTTGAACCAAATGTTGGTGCATTTCGACACGAAGAAGACTAAACTGGGCAAGGTAATGTTTTGGCATAAAGAATGTCAAATCCAATTTTGATTTACAACAGGTGATTGAGTATGATTTCAGAATTGCTAAGTCCCCCAGCGAAGAGGCAAACTGTATTTCAAACGTAGGGGGACTGTATGGCTGTGTATCAAGGCTGTCAATCTCCAAAGACAGAGATAATTGCTGGATGTAGGTATCAAGTGACTTACCCATACAGACCGGGCAGTCGTCCTCTGCCAGTGTGAGATGCATGTGGATGCCATGCAGCAGTGACTGAGTTTGCAATTGAACGAGGTGAGGCTTCAAACAAACCTCCTTCTTAATTGAATCACAGAGTGGCTGTAGGAACTCATGAACAAGAGTGCTAAACTGCACCCGTTTCAAAAATTGATGCAAGACACATAAGTAACTCTCAAAAGATCCGGTGACATCTACCCATGACAAAATGGCATTTGAGCAACATAACTTAAGAAGCGACTCAACTGCATGTTGAGATTCTTTGATACTCTCGAAAATCAGCAGATTTGAGGTAACATTCCTCCAAATTAAACTTGTGCTATAGGATCTTATTAATTGAACAAGATTTGGATTTGGATCATGGTTTACAGCTGGTGAATAATGGCCATCATGACCAATGCAGTGAATACCAAGGAAAACAGGGAAAAGCTCAGGTAAAAAGGCGAAATTTTTTTCCAGGTAAGGACCCACAAATTCAGTGGGAAATGTCTCTGTGAACAACGTACCAGTTGGTTTCAGGAGCGGCAGGGCATTAAGCACTAAGGCAGGTGGGGAGACATGATCAATGAGATTGGAAGTGTATATTGCATCAAAACGCAGCATCTTAGTCCAAGAGAAACACAAGCTTATGCAGTCTTCCAAAACGAATGTAAAAGATACACTAGAGGACTTTTTGATGGTGTTGGCTGTAGCTTGCAACCACATGGTAAACTGCTGGACACAGTTGGCTAAGAGAGGACTCGATTTGAATTCTGCATCACTTACAGGCAAGAGCTGTTTTACAACTCTACCTAAGTCAGCATTTGTGTAAAGAAAGCTCAGAGTAAAGCCCCTGTATGGAGTTAACTCATAATGAAGGGTGTATAATCCACCTGCATGCCCAAACAGTGTAGGATTAACAACTGTTTTGGAATTAGGTACCGCAATCCCAAGGACCGTCTCTGCCCACACAAAGCCATCACGAAGATATTCCAAAAATTCTTTCTTAATTGTCGCAAATGTTTTAGTTGAATGTAAGAAAAAGACTTTTTGTAGCAGAACATCTAATTCCACGTATTTTTCAGCCCTCCTCTCTATTTTTACACCACCCCTATCTTTTCATGTGATATACTGGAAATCGTTCTTTTTGACTTCATTTCCTCAACAGACATTGTAAAAGACTGCCATTTGCACCAAACCCCCTTCACTGCAGCAAAAGTAGCTGGGGAAGCAAATTCCACAAGCTTTCCTAGGGGACATTTTGACCATTCCTGCCATGAAACAGACCAACGAGATAGCTCTTGCAGGGAACTAAGTAGCATCTCATGGTGCTCTGGCAGCAGCTCATGGTTGTACCACAGAGACCACACGGAGGCTAACCACCTATTTTTATTATCCCCAGAACTAGGCAGATGCGTGCAAAGGTAGACGAACAGGATGTTACGAGCAAGGATTGTGGCATTGCGATCATTCAAAACGAACGGATTCCATTGAACCCAGAATCGAGAAATTTCCCCCTCTAAACCAAAATTATTGAGGATTGTGAACATAGGAACCAAAACACATGAACGCATGCCCCAAAACAACCACAACCACCCAAACCACACCACCCCCCCCACGGTCCCCACCCCCTCGTCCCGCCCCCCCCACCCTCTCGCCCCACGGCCCCCTGCCCCCCCCCCTCCCTGACCAACACGACCACATCCTCGCCGCGCCCCCCGCCACCCAACCCGGAAGACACCCGCGCGAAGCACACCACTCACCGCCCTACTGCCCCAGAAGCCCCACGCAGTCAGGCAGGGCGCGACCGAAGACAAACCGAGCGCAAATTAGACGACACACCCCCCCCAACATACCACCAAAATAGAAGCCACCACCACAACACCCCCCCGACCCCGAGCCCCTTGCCGGTTGGCGCGCCATCCACCCCCCACTGCGCGGCCCGCTGCCCCTTCTCCCTCTCTCTTTCTCTTCTCCCCTCTTTTTTCCTCCCCGGCCTCAGATGCCTTTCCCTCCTGTCTCCCAATCCTCGGGCGCGGAATTGCCAAAAGGATAATAGAATGTAAAATCTTCGTAAAATTCACGCGAAAGTGGAAATACGCGTTTGATCTCGGAGCCCATCTCCAGTCTTCGCTCAGCTATTTAGGACTGACTCACCAGGTTGTTCAAGGTTGTTACGGTCATCTATACGCCCTCAACAGTCAAACGAAAGGGGTTCCGGTTTATACTCGGGTTCTCACAAGAATTGTGTGAAATTGTGTGACGATGCGGCAACGGCTAAAATTGGAGTAAAATGGACAAGTCATAATGATGCCATCGGTTGGAGGGGGTAGAGAGGCGGGGTCGATCCCAAAACGGCAACCGGATACGCGCATGCGCAGAATGCTGTGCGCGTAAAAACACGGCGCGCAGCAGCAGGCTAGGCGCGCGCGGAAAGTTTTTCGATCTTCTTTGCCTGGTCTCTGCCTCTGGTCGGTCATGGCGAGCGAAGTGAGCTACCCTCTGCAGCTGTCGTCCGTGAGCGAGAGCCACGCGTCTCTGTACGAGGAGAGTCTGAAGCACCCCGAGCAGTTCTGGGGCGACCTTGCCAGCAGGAGACTCCGCTGGACCAAGAAGTTTGACCAGGTCATGGACTGCGACATGAGGACCGGCCAGTTCAAGTGGTTCCTCGGCGGCGTCATCAACGTATCAGGTAAGCTTGCCTAGTGCCTTTACGCGAGTGTTCTCGATCCTACACCGTCTCTATGATACGCCAGTGAATTGTCTTGATCGCCACGTGGAGGAAAACGCAGACAAGCCGGCCTTCATCTGGGAGAAGGACGAGCCTGGAACTCACGAAGTCATCAGCTACGGGTGAGCTATATAGTGTGTTCCAGCCCCAGCCATGGGTGTGACTGACCATTGATAGGACAATACCAGCTCACCTGATCTTGATGGAGTGATGAAAACCACTTCAAAGAGAAAAAGAATAGCTGTGTATTTAATTACAGTTTTCGGACTGATTGCATCGTTACTGTACAATAAGATTCCAAGAGCAAAGGGAATACTTACTAAGGAGCACTCTGTTATTCTGTCCTATATTGCAGCCAGTTGTTGGAGAGCACGTGTCGTATTGCCAATGTGTTGAAGAGAGAGGGAGTGAAGAAAGGTGACAGGGTGGCCATCTATATGCCTGCCTCTCCTCTCCTGGCAGCCACCATGCTGGCCTGCGCTAGGATCGGAGCCATTCACAGGTATGGTATTATCCTTCACAGCTTCCATTTTATGTGAGAAAAAACTTTCCCCTCTCTCTTCTAGTGTTGTGTTTGCTGGGTTTAGTGCCGAATCCCTTATGAACAGGATTAATGACGGTACAGTACGCATATCTTATGCCAGACTATTGCATGTGTTTGTTAACCCTAGCCTACTACACCTGTATCATTGGCTGCTATATTATATTCCTCCTCCCAGCCTCGGCGAGTGTGGTGGTGACAGCTGACGAGGCAGTTCGTGGAGGGAAGACCATTCCTCTGAAGAGTATAGTGGACGAGGCTGTGGGAGGCTGTCAGTGTGTCCAGAGAGTGTTGGTGTCTCGGAGGACCGGAGCCCATGTACCCATGACCCCCAGAGACCTTCAGCTTGAGCAGGTCTCTCCAGCAAAACAAACAATGTTCCAGTTTTAGAATGGGCAATCTGAGACTGTGAAAGTTGTCTTAGAAATGTCCTTGATTTAGCATAGTTAGAGTGTCCTATTATAAGAGGTTCCACCCTACAATCTACATCTATCCCACCACCTCCCCCCTCTCTCTGACCCAGGCAATGTCGGAGGTGTCAGACTCGTGTGCCCCAGAGCCTCTGGACAGTGAGGACCCTCTGTTCATGCTCTACACCTCAGGCTCCACTGGGAAGCCAAAGGGCATCCTCCACACTCAGGCTGGCTACCTCCTCTATGCCTCCATCACACAACAGGTTACCCCTCCCCCCCCTCACCTCTCTCACTGAGTGAGGTTGGTACTGTATGTATGTCTACCACTACAGTATGTGTTTGACTATCGACCTGGAGATGTGTATGCCTGTGTGGCTGACATTGGCTGGATCACTGGCCACTCCTACGTCGTCTATGGTCCTCTCTGCAACGGAGCTACCACCGTCCTATTTGAGACCCACCCAACCTACCCTGACCCTGGTAAGCTACTGCTTGCACAGTTCTGTAATCATTAGCTGCTAGACTTTATTCACGTTTTTAAAGTGCTTGTTTTGAACTCATACATGTGCTGAGAGCTTGTCTCTATAACTTTAAGCTAAAGTACAGTGTTTCGTGGTATATGTGATACACAATCTTCACTACATAATTGTTCCACATATTGTATGTGTATAGAAAAAGTATATTGATTGTGTGCATGATCTCTTTATGTGTGCATAAATAAATACTCTGTACGTGTATTATGTGTATAATTATACGCCTGAATTGTTCCAGGGAGGTACTGGGAGATGGTACAGCGACTGAAGGTCACCCATTTCTACACGGCACCCACCGCCATCCGCATGCTCATCAGGAAGGGAGACGAGTGGGTCAAGAAATACGACAGGTCCTCGCTCAGAATCCTGGGCTGCGGTGAGACTCTTACCATCATACAGTTGAACCTCTGATAAGGGACCCTCTGAGATGGGGACAACTTCTCTACAAAAGACACTTGTTTCAACCCCATATTAATACTTTAGTGTATTATTTGACCCACAAGATAGGGACGACCTCTCTATAAAGGGATGAATCGTTGGCCCCATAGTGTCCTTGTTCGGATGTTCCACTGTATCCACTGCTCTGTAGTGTAAACTCCCCCATTGATAATGTACTGTAATCTCCCCCCACACATTCTGCAGGTGTAGTTATTATACATTGTTGCATGGAGTGTGTTGTGTATTGTGTTTCAGTGGGAGAGCCCCTGAATAAAGAGGCGTGGAAATGGTACAATACTGTCGTGGGGGAAGAGAGATGTACCATCGTGGACACCTACTGGCAGACAGGTCAGGTCATACACGATGCACATATACTTTTTGAGGGGTAAAATACATTCCTCTTGTACAAAATTGTACTTGCATACGCGCATCCCTATGCATGCGTTGTACAATCTAGCTGTTGATAATATTCATATACCCTGGCAACATGCATATAAAATTTGACCCTCCCGACTGTAGCACTACTAATTAGCTAGTAATGCTAGTGTATACTCTTTGGTCGTAGCATTTACACAGGCGGTTTGTTTTCTGCATGTGGGCATTATACTCCAGTGCATGAATATCAACATACTAGCTCATGAATGCTGTAATGTGTACAATGACTGTAGCAATTTGTGTAAATGAACAGTGGACTCCTGTGTGCTACATTGTCTGATGTATCTGTACTATATATACAGAGACTGGTGGTATTACCGGTCCCCTGTGGTACATTGTCTGATGTATCTCCACTGTATATACAGAGACTGGTGGTATCACCGTTCCCCTGTGATACATTGTCTGATGTATCTCCACTGTATATACAGAGACTGGTGGTATTACCGTTCCCCTGTGATACATTGTCTGATGTATCTCCACTGTATATACAGAGACTGGTGGTATCACCGTTCCCCTGTGATACATTGTCTGATGTATCTCCACTGTATATACAGAGACTGGTGGTATTACCGTTCCCCTGTGATACATTGTCTGATGTATCTCCACTGTATATACAGAGACTGGTGGTATTACCATTGCTCCCCGACCGGCCGCTGATGACAGTCAACCCAAACCTGGGTTCCCCTCCCTCCCTTTCTTTGGCATCCTCCCGCAATTGAGGAGTGAGAATGTGAGCCTTGCATCCCCTAGGCTAACACACTGTACTGACGTATGTACTAGTGCACAGAGAGGGTACAAGGCTAATGTGTAGCCCACAGATAGATTTACTGTATGATCAATCTCAATCTCAGGATGAGGTGATTACTGAGAGTAACGTGCAGGGGCACCTCTGTATCACCAAGCCATGGCCCGGCATGGCTCGCACCATATATGGCAATCACCAGAACTTCATGGACGTCTATTACAATCCCCATCCAGGTACGTACATATGCACACCTTTTAAACCTAGGCACGTTAGTACACCTAACAGTCATTGTCTTGTAGTCCCAAATTTTAGGGCCCTACATTTTTTATTTGATAAACCTCCAATTACATTTTCTCAAAGCTAATATGAATACCTTCAGTGCAAGTAGAGTAATTGTCTTACCAGTATAATATATATGTGTGTGTATACTTAGAAGGAGTCTGGGATAACACTTTAGTAATTGCACAGTTGGTACACAGGCACTCACTGCCTACATGCCTCAAATTGTTAAAATTGGCAAAATGTCTTTCTGGCCGTATTCGTAGTATATTATAGCATGCAAACTGTACCTACCTGTATGTAGGGGTGTATTTCACTGGGGATGGAGCACTGCGTGACGAGAATGGGCTGTACAGGATCACTGGCCGCGTGGACGACATCATCATGAGTAAAGGACACCGCATCGGCACCGCAGAGCTGGAGTGTGCCATGGTCAGCTGCCGCACATAATCTGCACTGGAATCACCTTATCCTATGTTCCCACACCTCTTGTGTGGAAGCTACGTATGATTGCAAGCAAAATACCTTTTTTGTTGATTCTTTCCCCTATGCTTGCTGTTTAAAACTGCAAATGCCATCTGACCATGCACATTTGATTAAGTGCTCTCAAGAAGTGAGACGGGGTAATCCTCTCTTAGAGAGAACTTGGAGGAAAAGCTCATTATTGTGTGAGACATGTCATGTAATACTAAACATGACGTGAGTTGTTGTTGTGTTTGCCTGCAGAACACAGAGCCACGTGTGGCAGAGACGGCAGTAGTCGGCTACCCCCACGAAATCTACGGCGAAGGTATACCATAACCTTGCACTCTTTAGTCTTGCTGTATAGTGTATCCACTGACTCTATCATGCAGGGATCTATGCCTTTGTGATTCTGAAGGACGGCGTGGTGGCGAGTGTTGAGACTATTGCCGAGGACCTCAAGACTATCGTGAGGAAGAAGATTGCCTCCTTTGCCCTCCCCAATCAGTTCTTGGTGAGCTGCTCCTTGTTAGAAATGTGTGATTTCCGTTTGCTTGCAAATCCTGGGATTTTGTAGTGTTAGCCACAATACGGTATACTACAGGCTGCAGTGCCGTGAACCAACTAGTCCCCAGCCATGAAGTATTGTAGTGTTAGCCACCATACGGTATACTACAGGCTGCAGTGTCGTGAACCAACTAGTCCCCAGCCATGAAGTATTGTAGTGTACAGTGCGATTGTAGGTATGGGCACAGTGAGGGGTGTGTGATTTACCCACTTGACAATGCCTGGATCGTCATGATTTTAGTACAATCTATAAAAGGTGCCCGGGTCACTGTCCCTGACAATGTACAACCTTCTCTCTGTGGTGTGTCTCTACAGATAGTTCCAGGTCTGCCCAAGACTCGCTCCGGGAAGATAATGCGTCGTATTCTGAGGAAGATAGCAGCTGACAGACATGAAGAGTTGGGAGATGTCTCCACTCTCGCTGACCCCTCCGTCGTAGAGAAGATTGTCCAGGAACACAACTTGCTGAAGAATGATAATTAATATTTCTGACCATTTGAATAACTCTGAGCCCCCTATTTTTCCTGAACTGCATTCTATGTACAAAAACCTCTCTGTCTTTGCGCACACATAATTAATATTATACGTGGGCGCCGCCGTGGTGGGTGGGGCTCGCCGCGCATTGTGTTTACTTACGTGACGCACAGTTATAAAGCGAGTCAGCTCCCCTCTCTCTTACGACGGAGTAGCCGTGATCCAGTGGTCTTTGTGAGGTCGTCTGCAGCTGTGTCTTACTTGCCATGTAAGTTACCACAACTAACTATGATGTTTGTTGGTGTCTGTGTGGATCCGACTGCGTTCCGACTGCGTTCCGTGCACGAAAAGGCGGCTCATCACCTCAGAGCAGGATAGCGCTAGAACGTACGTATGGACGCGGTGGTCACTCTTGCTAAACGTACAGTGTGAAGCAAGTGCGTATTTGTGCGTGATAGCTATGGCGAACTGTTTCTCTGGCCACACACACACACACACCACAGGATGCTGAAGCACGCCCTGGTCATCCCCGCAATCTTGTCCCTGCTGGTTTTGACAACTGCAGCAATCAAAGTGAGACGCACTGTTCTTGCAAAGACACCTAGCTAAATAGAGGAGGTAGCAGAGCCAAAGGTTATCTGAGGCGTGCCTCATTAGTAGTGTAGGACCCTAGCTAACAGTAGGCAAACTGACTGTTACACCCCACACTGAGCTATGGAAGATAATGCAAGCAAGTTGGCAGAAGCAGTGTCCCAAGTCCCTAACAGGCAGCCATTTCAAAGAATGACCTGGGAGCATGCATATAGAATTTCATCTGTTACACCATGTGATGTCACACTTTATTACAATGCCATGCCGACTAAAACGATGGAATGAGACAAGCTGGCAGGCAGTAGGAGATCATAATAGCGGATGATTGCTAGGCTGTCCGTATATGCACGTGGGAAACTGTGCCCGCCTGCTGGCAGTGGAAAGCAATTAGACAAAATTGGCCTGACTGATTATGGTTGGAAGGAAAAGTAGGAGTTGGCCCAACATCTTTTAGTGTGTAAAGCAAAGCATGGAGCATGTTTCTTGCAAACTTTATGCAAGTCTCACTGCATAGAAGTGTTGTGTAAACCCTTCCTTGTCTCTCTGAAACCATAGTACAGGAAGTTGTATCACCAGAGTTATGTCCAAAACTTAGCGTGTCGGACAATGATTATTACTCTATAAGATGACCTCTTCCAGGTGCCGTGTCGTGTGGGTCAGACAAGCTGTGAATGTCCTACTACAGCCTCGGAATGTGAGTTTGACCTCACCATCAACTACCTCCAGACCTTTGCCAGCTACTCTGTGAGGGACGATGGGACCATTGATCCCCAGGATGGCTACATTTACAACATCAATAGCACTGGCCAGGTAGGTGTGTGGTTGGGTATTCATCACCATCACTATTATCTGTCTGTATCAAATTACATGTGAGGTCATCCACACTGCTTTTCCTCCAGCTTTCCTGTAGGACATTGTACACCTCTTAAATTGGTACACATATTGCTGTAGAAATACCGACTTGCTACATGACGGTATTCCGTCATCGTAGATAACTCCTTACGACAAAGATAGACTAACTGCTTAAGCAAAAAAACGGGCCAACCAACTACTCTTAATACTTTAGCTAAACTGGAGAATGCAGTAAGAGACTGCTTCAAATTCTTCGATAAGAAGGACAGGCAAACTATACATCTTAAATACTTGTAGCCAAGTAGTGCAGTGTAACCTACAAGGATGACTGTTTATATAAAATTGGGCAGCCAAAAACCTTTAGCAAGCAAGGAGGGGCAAACGAATGTAGCTTGGAAGTGCAGTTGAAGTGCTGTTGCGGCTTAAAGTTGAGAAGTACAGGCAAACTACCATGATGAAATTGTTTTTGTACCATTGTACCATCCCCCTTGATATGCAGTAAGAGTGATTGTGTTTGAACGCAGGTGGTGCCGCTAGCTGACCCCTGCCCAGGTCCCCAGTGCTCCCCACCACAGACGGTGGACGGGAGGTCCTTCAGAACCTTCTTTGCCGTCAACGGAATCACCCCCGGCCCCTCCCTCATCGTGACACACAGACAGACGGTCATTGTCAACCTCCACAACAAGCACCCGACGGAGTCCATCACCATTCACTGGCACGGACAGCTCCAGTACAACACTCCCTGGATGGACGGCATCCCATACATCTCCCAGTGCCCCATACAACCAGAGGACACCTTCAGGTACATCTCCAAGGCGGACCCCTCGGGGACCTTCTGGTACCACGGACATGTCGGAGCCTCTCGGGCCGATGGTCTATACGGGGCTCTCATCATCAGGGAAATTGACAATAACGACGCTGATTACCGGGATTTCCCCGAGCAGCACACACTACTGCTGACTGACTGGTGGAACCAGCCGTACTCTGACCTGTTCACCCTTCAGCATACGGTCCTCGAAACCTATTACCCGTTGATTGTAGGGGAGCTCCCGCAGCCGGGGGACAAGTATGAGATTACAGGGTCCTATGATCAGGCGGAGGCAGGCCCTGTCCCCTATTTCTCCGGTCTTGTCAACGGGAAGGGATATCAGAAGGAGGTTCCGCTGGAGAGAACCGTCCTCAGCAATTTCACTGTGGTACCGGGAGAGAAGTATCGTTTCAGAGCCATTGGGACACAAAGCATCTTCCCACTCAGGTGAAAATAACGTGTGTGTGTGTGTGTGTGTGCGCGCAAATGGCATCTAAAACTTATTACCAACTCACATCAGATTCTGCCGTCTTCCTTACATGAATGCTTTTCACATGTGACTTGATGGAGGTCTAGTGCATCGTTTTTTGTTTAACGTAAGAATCAGATAACTAGGTGTGTGGGGAAAAGTTGGTATTTCCTTTAACTCATGATCAAGTGTACAGCTATGTGTGGTGGGGAAAGTTGGTGGTGGTGGTCATTCTTTTTACTTCTACCTTATTTCTCCAATAGGCTCTCGATAGACAGCCACAATTTGACTCTCATAGCTGCAGACGGCTTCCTCATTCAGCCAATACCCAACCTGGACTACATCATCATCCACGCTGCCGAGCGCTACGACTTTGTCGTGGAGGCCAACCAAGACTCGACCCGCAACTACTGGATCAGAGCCGAGACTCTGGAGATTAACACCACCAGCAACACTCAGGCGCCGTATGCCAACTTCAACCACCAGGCCCTCGCAGTGCTCCACTATCAGGATGCTCCCGCCCCAGTAGGGCCGGAGCTGAGGAATATTCCACACAACCCACCAGACTGTGTGACCAACGGCTGCATAGCCACAAACTGCCCCTTCCAGAGTTTCCACGAGTCCTACAACATTGCCTGCCTCCACCCTGCGCAGAATTTCCGTCTGCTTAACCCCACCCCAGACGACGTACTCCCAGACGCTGAACCAGACGAGGGTCAAGAATACTTCTTCAACTTTGGCTACGAGGGAGAGACTGACCTGCCGGCCAACATCAACGGCCGTCTCTTCCAGTCACCCACCTTCTCCCTCGCAACACAGCGCAGCGAAATCAGCGAGGATACCCTCGATCTCTGCCCCACTGCAGACTACTCCTGTTTCGACGGATGCCAGTGCACTCACATGATGGAGCTGCCCTTCGGGAAGACTGTGAGGTTTGTACTGACCTCGATTGGGACGCAGACCCACCCCATCCACCTCCACGGCCACTCTTTCTGGGTGGTGGAGAGCGGGTACGGATACTACAACAGCCAGACTGGGTTCATAGAGAAGAGTACCAACGCTCTCTCGTGTCTGAAGGACCAATCAGATTTCAACAACACCGACGCCCAGCCGTGCACCACCATCAGATGGCGAGATGGGTACAGACCAAAGATTTCCCTCAACTCTACCACTCCTCGCATGGACACCATCCTCGTCCCGGCCGGCGGCTACGTCGTCATCCAGTTCCGATCGGACAACCCCGGCTACTGGTTCTTCCACTGCCACATTCAGGAGCACCTCCTCGAGGGAATGGCAATGATTGTTGCCATCGACCCCAGTCGACAGAACCCTCCACCAGGCGGCATGCGGACCTGCGGAGACTTCCACTGGACTCTGGATGAGTTCCAGGAGAAATTGGAGTTTAATCCTGCAGACCCGCAGTCCATGGAGGAAGACAAGGAGCCTGAGTACTGCCAGTGTCTTAGACAGGCTGAGCTAATCGCAGTGATCCTGTGCAGCATAGTAGGCTTCATTGCCCTGGTGGTGTTGCCTATGACCTGCTGTGTTGTTCTCTGCTGCCTCCACTGTCGACGTCAGGGGAAGGACAAGTTTGAAATGTCTTCCAGCACCATTCAAGAACAAGAGGGGACACGATATTCGCCTCTCCGTGAAAAGTAGCCCTAAACATTGCTAGTTATTGATTAATACTCTGCATTTGGTAAATTATTAATCTATCTGCATACTGGCCCATAAGCCAGAGTATTTGAGCTTGCCCAGGCTGTTTAACCTCCTTTGACAACTTTGGTAACACTGGAGTACAGGGTGTTGCAGACACTTGAAGGACACTGTGTAACTTTAATTAATTCAGGAAGTGTTTATAATCAATTAGAATTTGCAGGTTACACCGGCTCTGTACTCGTGCATGGTGCATATATAATACCCATGTCAGATCATTATTTTTAGTCTGGCCTCCTGCCTCATTAGTGATGAGGACCATTCCATAATACAGTGCTTTGCACATAGAATAATCACTAATTTTTAAACCCTCTGTGCACTTGCGCAGCGAGGGTTATGGCAGTTGTCGTGTCTGTCTGGCTGTCTGTCTGTCTGTCTGTCCGCATCTTACTTCACGAGCCATGAATCGCTCCACAAACAATACCACGTATTCAGCGTCAAGTATACGTCAAAAAGTATGTAGGATTTTCTCTGAAACTGCTGCGTTCGAGAGTTATGGTGTGAAACACAAGCAATATGCTAATTAGAACAGGCTTTATACACCAAATGGCCAATGCATGCAAGAGTCACAGGCTGTCATAAGTTACTCACCTTGAAAGTCACCTAATAATCATGCTAGAGTGAGAAGCTACAAAGCTGGGCTACTCTCACTTATAATGTCACTACCTGACAAAAAAATGCTGCATTCAGACGACTAGAGGCTCGCTTCACTAGCAACATAACCTGCACTCAGCTAATGGGCATTGAGTTGTGGATTTTGAGTCACTATTGTGTATGTTTTTAGAATACGTTTCATGAGCTTATGAGATTAAATCAGAAACTGCTTAAACCAATCAGATTCATTTCCTAATACACTGTTACAATAGTGAGTTGAGAGTTTACAGGTGCAACTAAATCCTACATTCTACACTGTCTAGTGTTGCATTATAATAATAACTTGCTACACATTGTACTCTCTTTTAAGCCATTCTTTGACTTCTCTCCAATCCAGTCTCTCCCATTCCTTATGGATGTTTGTTTGTGAACGTTTAAAGAATTTCTCGATTTGCCTGGAGTATTTCCCAATAAACCACTTCCAAAACATTGATGCTTCAAGGGATTTATCTGCAGTAATAGCCCACTCAGGATAGAGTTCAGTATATCTTTTGTATAGATGGCAATTCCCTCCTGTCTTTTCATTTCTGAATTTAGTATTCGAATCTGGGGAAACAGAGTAGGTGCAGACATCTAAGATCATAGTGTTATCATCATTCCACCGATACTTACTGAGGCATTGAGGGCGATGCTGTGTTGTATGCTTGATATTTGTTGAGTGTTTGTCAGTCGTGAGCTCACATTGTGCTTGACAAAATGGGCATTGAGCAGTGCACCCAGCTAGTGCTTCAAAAATGTCTTTATGTGGCTTTTGTCGTTTTAATATATCGGAGTATCTAATGTTAGAAAACTCTTGTTTTAACTGACCTTGCAATTCTTTCAGCCCCTTAACAAATTCTCTTGTGAAAAATTCTAAATCAGAAAACTGGGGGATTGTGATATACATTTGGCGCTCTAGCTGAGAAATGTTAATATTTCTTTTCCTTGAAAGTGAACAAAACTGTTTAATCCATTCGCTTGTTGAATAGTGTTGTTGAGTAGAAGCAATGTTCTCCGCCTGATTAACTAGAAAGCCAATGATATTATCCGTTTCACGTACTGCAATCACAGAGAGTCGTGAAGGTGAACCCGAGTGACAGAACTGCTCTGAATAATATTTAGCCCACCATTCAAGGCTTGATCTGACATTAGTTAAAAAAGACATGCATAACTCGAATCCATCTTCTGATCCCTGCTCAAGTCGTTGCCCAATCTGAAGAAGAATACTTGCAATAAAACTTTGCTTGTCACTAAGCCATGGGTATTCTCCTCTCATTCCATTAACCACAAGGGCTGGAAGGCTCTCCAAAACAAATTCTTTGACTGGCTCCATTAATTTGTCACAGAGTGTATCTGCAAATATTTTCTCCTTCCAAACTCTTTTATACATGTTTATGAACATCCTTTCAAACTGAGGCCTCATTTTAGCTTTGAAGAAGTCAGTTATGCAAGACTCAACTTCTCCTGCAATATTTGGTCGTTTTAATGGCTTCATTGTAGAAGTAAGCTGGGGTATCCATTCATCCCACTTGCTATCAAATATGCCCTTCAGTCTTTCATCATCATCATCATCTTCACAAGGATCACCAAGACCTTCTATTAACTCTTTAATATAACAAAAAATGATTGTACTCAGTTTACCCTTCTTCTTATCTGCCTCAGCACGATCTCTCTGGGCCTGATACACTTGCGAGCAGTGCTCTTCCGCATGACGTTCTAGTTTTTCACGTAAATATTGTAGCCTCAGTTGCATATCTGGCTTCCATTTCAACATTATTTCATTATTACTCTCCTTAAAATATTTAAGCATTTTTTCCTCATATTCCACTTGCTTTTTTCCTACAAACCTTTGCAACTCATCCATAAGCTGCGCGTTAACATCATCTAGTCTCTCTTGTGTGTCACAGGCAATGAGTTTCGTCTGTGCCTCTCTTTCCCATTCACTCATTTCACTTTTGAAACCCCATGACCAATCACCGTATTTCTTCTCAAGAGTCTTGAATTCGAATGTATTTTGAAATGTGAACACAAAATCCTCTTGAAGAATAGCTTTCCATAGCGCTTCCAAATGTGCTCTTATGTTAGGAACAGAATATTTTGTAACGGTTTTGCAGTTAGTTATTACACCAACTTTCAAATGCTGAGCTTCTTTGCTATAGCTAGAATTAACACGTGCCATAGGAGGCATTCCATTCCAAAGGTCAGGGAAAAATGACAGATCTTTTTCATGGTCAAATTTTATGACATCTGTAAAATGGGTGTATTGAGTCTCAACACCCGTTTCTTTGGCAGCAGCTTTTGTCATTTTATCCAAGTTGTCCTTCGTTTGACGTCCCTGCATCATTTTTTCATGTGCTCCAACTGCTACAACGTGTTGGTGAATAATATGGCAACTTGGCCTTAATTGTACCTGATTCATTCTCAAAAAGGCATGTACCACAGTGTGCAGAACATCATCCATGTCTCCTGATACCTCTCCTGCTACATTAATAAGTGTGAGGTTTGCCATTCCAATCACAAAAGTAGCGAGCTCATTGTCATGTTCACGACCCTCCAGTCTGTCGAGTTCAGGAGCTCTCAGACCTTCAGTATCAATCAGAAGAAAGTATTGAACTCCTGTCGTTTCATGCAGAGAGGGATGAACTGGAATTAGCTGCATGAATGCCCCACGAGTGCACCTTCCAGCACTGACGCTGAACTGAACTCCAAACACTGTGTTCAGCAATGTTGACTTTCCAGTGCTCTGAATACCAAGGACTGCTAATACGTAAATGTGTGGATCAAAACCATGCATTCTTTTTAGAATATTGGCCAGACAATTAAAAACTGCCATTATCCATTTTTGTGGAATATGTGATGCATCTCCATCTAATAGTTCAAGTGGATGGCCATCACACAACAACTGAGCTGCTATTTCAGGGAGATTACTGACGTTGCGGCAATTTGCCATGGCAGACTCGTATATCTGACCAACTTCTCTGAAAAGGTGTTCTATGCCAAATGAAGCATTGATCAATTGACAGTCAAGTTTTTTAAGTTGCTCCTGACATATACTCTCAGCATGAGCATCATGCTTCTGTTGAATATCTCTCAATTGCTTTCTTTTTTCACGGATTTTTATATAAAATGGAGGCAGTATATCCCTTGATAGGTCGTCTAGCTTGAATTTCAACCATATCAAGTAATAACGAAGCACAAAACCTCCTTCTGTCCTCAGAGTTTTCAGGAATGAGGACATCAATTCATTCCCTTGTGTGGCAAGTGGGTATTGCTGTTGACGAATCTTTTCCATTTTCCCCCTTTGCTCTGCACCATACTCTTCTGAAGTCAAATCCCTTTGGTGCTGTTCATGTTCTTGCTTTACATGTTTTCCTCTTTCATAGTGATATTTTCTTTTCTGTCGGTACTGTTCCTTGTTTAGTTCTGCCCATCTTTGCCAAAGTTCTTTACTCTGGAGAGGGAGTAAACTTTTAAGACTAGTAATACGATTACTTCTTCGATGTTTCTCTATTACTGCATAAAGCTCTTCCATCAGTCGCCTTCCTTTGACACAGTTAATATTATCTTCATCAATAGCAATATCAAACTTACGAGCAATGGATGTTAGGGTAACATGTTCATACTTAACGTCGAGTTTGCTTCTTAGCTTTGCTAATAAATTTCTCTCATTCTTAACAATAGTAATTTTTGATTGTTCTCCAAAGATTTTCCCTTTAAAACGTATATGGGTTTCTGTTTGGAGTATAATTAGTCCGCCAGGAGCTTGTGATAACCTTTGTAGTAGTGTTACAACAGAATCTTTCGTAGTATCTCCTTCTAAAACATCATGTGAAAGTAACAAAACATGCACAGTAGATACACTGCACAGGAAATTAACTTGTTTCTGAAGCATAGGGTCACAAGCATCTCCTCTTAAATTGGTAAAGGCAATAGGCTTGGGGTAAAGTCCGTCACCAGGCACATACCAGCTAATTTCAACAAGACCATTGACTAGGAGCTTACGTTGTGTACCACCACCAGGAGAGTTATAACCAAAAAATGGCATATTTTTGTTGTCTTGATCTACTCTATTCATGACACCATTCAGGGTTTCAGATTTTGACATGGCATGCCATCCACACCTTAAAAATGAAACAAATTGTATTGGTTGATCAATAATTCGACCGCTAAATATTTTTCCATCAGGAAACTTGAATTCTTTGACTATAGACTTTAGAGCCCACATCAGCAATGTGGTATCTTTGGTACAAGGGTGAGGGAGGAGAAGAGGTACAGCGATTTGACAAGTGGCCAGCCTACTGAAGAGCTCTTGACGAAGAAAGTTATCAGAGCAGTGTATGAGAGCAAGCAAGCCGTCCATTGGGTGAACAGAGGCTTTTTCTACAGAATAATCTTCAGAATCAGAATATGAATCGTCCCCAAGATCTGATCCCAATTCACTACGCAACCCAAACCTGCATTTACTATCAAATGACATTATTTTTTGAAGCATTACAAATGGATAAAGCATTGGATCGCTAGGAGTATCCTGAAGGGTGTCCTCTCGAATTTGAATTGCATCTTGAATGGATAGCTTTTGAGGAAATTTCTCTAGTAAATTGATTCTTCTGAATAAAGACTCAATGATCTTGTCAGGTATTTGTGGGGCTTTTAAAGCAATTAACGATTTCTTTGAGAGACCAGTTTGAAGCAGCTCTGTTTCATATAACTGTGCAAGGAATTACAATCATAATGACAGAATATAATTGTAGCATTATGTGCGGGCATATTAAAGGCACTGACCACTTTGAGCAGTACAAATGTGTACCACTGCATAAATGTGCCTGTGAAATTCTGTGAAAATGCATGCACTGAAGTGATCTACGCCACATTTAGCTACCACTTCTTTCAGACACATACTTGCTTGGTAGATTAGCGAATAGCATATCGAAACATTGCTACGGCGAAGGGAAGATTTTTGTACGAGGGTTTACCTTGAAAATGTTCACATTAAGTAACGTCGTTAACCGTACAGGCGGGCTTGTTGTGACGGGCGCAGGAGGACCAGGAAGAAAGTCATGGCAGAAAGCTCGAGCTCCCCATCGCGCAAAGAGTGGAAGCTAAGGACCAAGCCCCGAACAAACTACAAGGAACTAACGCACATCACTTTACCCAGGAAAACCAGACAGAGAAATGATCCTAGCTGACTCTACCCAGTAGATGTGGTGGAACGCGATGAAAATTGACGCCTAAAAGTTCACTACATCGGCTTCAGTAATGTCTTTGATGAGTGGAGAGAACCATCCGACATAGTTCCACTGGGCGAATAAAGCGAACCCGAGACATATGTGCAACTTCCGTTTAGTCTCTACTCGGAACTAAGCTATGCGACCAAGAAAGCTCTCGTAAGCGGTAGGAAGGAATCACCTCATGTAAATGCTTTTTGACAAACTGCTAGATAAAAAAGAAATGACATAGTGTCAATATCATCATTCTAAGTGAAGCACAAGCGTGAGCGGTGCCAAATGGCATATCTGTGTTGTAATAAGTAGCTTTACTTACTTGCTTATTGGGTAGACTTCAGCTGTCATCACTAAGTAATCATGAAAAGTGCACCCGCCAAACGTTAAAAACTGTGATGCACCAAAATGGCGCTCTTGAACCGCTCTATTTAATGCCGCCCGAACTGCTGGACTAAGGGGCAAAGGTGAAATTTAATGACCTAAATAAATTAGAAGGTATCATAAATGTATGGGCCTTGAAGTGTACCGTATCCACAGAAGCCGCAGTTGCGGTGACTTACCGGGTATATACATTACGGGGCAAGCGACATACCATTGTAATCTGCGTGAGTTGTTCTATGGCTATAAAACCGAACTAGTTGAAGTATAGCAATCATTTAAAACGAAAGCGGTCTTCGATTGATCAAGAAGTTGTTGTATCAATCAACTAATGCCCCCTCTTCGACCTTCTGATGGGAAACGAGTCAAGCCACCAAAACTGGATGTATCTACCTTTAACGGCAACATTTTAAACTGGCAATCATTTTGGGGACAATTCTGTGTCTCTGTACACGATCGTCCTCTCTCTCGGACCCCGAGAAACTCATGTATATACCTTCAACATTCCCTAAAGAATGGTTCGGCTAAGAAAGTCATCGAAGGTCTCTCTCGCTCTGGTGAGTTCTACGTTGAAGCCATTGAATGCCTGAAAGCTCGCTATGATCGACCCCGTTTGATACACCAGACCCACGTACGCATTATCCTGGAAGCTCCGGCTCTGAAAGACGGCACTGGAAGGGAACTGCGTCGCCTCCATGACACTGTTCAGCAACACCTCAGAGCCCTCAAGGCGATGGACTATGAACCGTCTGGACCGTTCATCACGTCAGTGCTTGAGCTGAAGCTTGACGTAAACACAATGTGTGAATGGTAAATATACAGCCAGGACGACCCTGACGTTCCTCATTATCGCAAGCTGCTCGAATTCATCAATCTACACGCTCAAGAATCCGAGACTCCACTACCCAATCAAAAGCGGAACAAATCTCACACCATGAGGAACAATGCTCAAACAACCAACCCGGTAACGTCCTTCGCAACCAGCGCCTCTGATTCTGCTGCTGATTGCGTTCTCTGCAAAGGTGAGAAACATCCGCTGTATGCCTGTGTGCGCTTCAAAGCCCTTGCACACAATAAGATGGAGTCCATGTTGAAATCAAACAACCTCTGTATGAATTGCCTGAGGCCCGGACATTTTGTCAAGCAGTGCAAGTCCGCCCATCATTGCAGAAGCCACATCACACTTTATTGCACTTTGAAAGCGAGCAAAGTTCTCCGTCATCAACTGGCACATCCGTCCAACCCGTCACATCTAACGCTGCTGCAGGTCTCACGTCCAACTCTCTTCTGATGATCTGTCGGGTTCTGATCGACCTCCCAGATGGTTCTTCTACTGAAGCACGTGCCCTCCTTGACTCTGCATCTTCAGCCTTGTTCATCTCTGAGCGTCTCACCCGGACACTATGTCTCTCTCGCTCACATCGGAACACCAAGATCTCTGGAGTTGCTGGCCTGTCCCGCAATTTCCCACTCCAGTCGGTAGCCAACTTCAAGATCTCCCCCGTGCATCTCCCCAATAGGCCAATAGGAAGTTTGAAGTCTCAGCTGTCGTCGTACCATGTGTGACGTGTGATCTACCCCTCCAACCTGTCCCCTTAGACTCCTCGTGGAAGCACTTGGAAGACATCCATCTCGCTGACCCTGACTTTGGCCGCCTTGGCAGGATTGACGTCCTGCTCGGAGTTGACATCTTTGTTGAAACACTCCTTCAGGGGCGGCGCGATTGGACCTCCTGGTTGTCCATGTGCATAAGTTTGGTTGGGTTCTCGCAGGCCGTCTGGACGCGTCATCCCCAAGTACTCATGTCTGTCGTACAGCATTTCAAAGAAAACCATCTTCGCACCAAGACTAGAAGATTCATCGTTCCTCTCCCGAAAAAGCCAAATACTAAGGCACTGGGTGAATCCCTATCTCAAGCTATAAGGAGATTCCTTGTGCTGGAGCGCTCTCTACGTTCCAAAGACCAGTTTGGGAGTTTCAACGACGTGATGGAAGAATATTTCCAGATGGGACATGCTGAGCTCGTACCCATGACTGACTTGGAAAAGTCACAACAGGAAGTATTTTACCTCCCAATTCATGCAGTCAGAAAGGAGACCAGTTCTACAACAAAGATCCGAGCTGTTTTCGATGCGTCTGCCAAATCTTCAACTGGGCGTTTCGTTAAATGACACACTCCTCGTGGGACCGACCGTACACTCTTCACTCATCGATGTGTTACTCAGGTTCCGGTTCCACCGCGTTGCGTTAACCACTGATGTCAGCCGAATGTACCGTGCAGTGGAGTTAACCCTCCCTGACAGAGATCTTCATAGATTTGTCTGGAGAAGTGACCCTAATGAACCCCTATGAGATTATCTTCATTCGCCGCAAATATGGCAATCAAGCAGAATGCACTCGACCTCACATTGCAGTACCCTGAAAGCCTCAGTTGCTGTTGAGAAGTCCTTCTATGGGGATGACGGCCTGACTGGAGCCGACACCGCTCAAGAAGCAATGGACCTGCAGAAACAGCTCCAAGACCTCTTCTCTTGCGGAGGATTCTTCTGCACCAATGGAACTCCAGTGAGCCCTTAGTCCTACAACACATCCCGTCCGAGCTGAAGGAGACCCACTCCACACAATCACTTCCAAGTCCTGATGATTACACAAAGACCCTCGGCATCACTAAGCGAGTTCTGGTGTCTGACATCGTGAAAAACATTTGATGTTCTTGGATGGTTCTCCCCTACAATAATAAAAGTCCACATTTTGTTGCAACGTTTGTGGGAGCTCAAAGTCGACTGGGATGACCCCTTGCCTATGGAAATTCGTGAAGTTTGTGCGGTGGAGATCAGAGCTCAAGTGTCTCTCTGAACAACACATTCCTCGGTGCTACTTCCCAAAGGAAGCACACATAGTCGCTGTTGACTTACATGGATTCTCTGATGCATCTGAATGCGCATATGCTGGTGTTGTCTATCTCCGCATGATAGACTCTGACGGAAGAATCCACATCTCAATCGTGACTTCTAAAACAAAGGTCGCCCCCATCAAGCGTCTGACCATCCCTCGTCTCGACTTCATCAGGTGGAGAACACCTTTGGTCTACCTCTCAATGGTGTCTATGCCTGGACTGACAGTAATATCGTCCTCATGGAATCACGTCGATGGAGCTGACAACCCTGAGACTGCGCATCCAGAGGACTTTTACCCTCAGAGTTGTTGGGACATGAGTTGTGTTGGGATGGCCCGAAGTGGTTGAAGTTACCCTCATCTGAATGGCCCAAACAGTCGTCGCTCCCGGACGTGGATCCATCGGGAGAAGAAAGAGTCTGCGTCCACGCAACTACTCGACAATAACAGACACTCACATCTCACCCAGTTGAAGTACGTCACAGCCTGGGTCTTTCGGTTTGCAAACACCTGTCGCGTCCGAAAAGATCAGCGAGACACTCTACCAAACCTATCAGTCCAAGAAGTACTCAGGGCGGAAACGTATTGGCTGGTGTTCTCACAAGAAGAGCAATTCGGAGAAGAGATTGATGCCTTCAAGACAAATCAGGTCTTATCCAAGTCCAGTCAACTACTCATTCTTCATCCGATCATAGATTCTGACGGTGTCTTATGTGTCAGCGGCAGACTACGAAACTCTCAACTTCACTACTCCACTCAACACCCGGCTATCCTTCAGGGAAAGCATCAAGTCACGAAGTTGATCAAGCATTTGCGCCTACTCCATGCTGGTCCAACTTTAGTCGCCGCTTCACTTTGCACTCGTTACCACATCATTGGATCTCACAAGACTATTTGTTCTCTGGTTCGTGGGTGTTTCACTTGCCTGAGAAGGTCTGTAAGACCTCAGCCTCAAATGTTAAGTCAACTACCAGGTGAGCGAACTACTCCTGGGTCCATTTTTGACAATGTTGGTGTGGACTATGCTGGTCCCGTGTACATCAAGTACGGCTTCGTTCGCAAGCCTACTGTTATCAAGGCCTATATTGTTTCATTCTCGGTCAAGGCCGTTTATCTGGAACTGGTGGACTGAGGCAACGACTGAGGCATTCATCGCGTCACTCAGACGATTCATCGCTCATTGTGGTAAGCAAGTGACTATTTAGAGCGATCATGGCACCAATTTCGTCGGAGCCGCACGGGAACTAAAGGAACGTAAAGCACAGAGAATTGTCTCCGAGTTTTGCACTTCGCAGGACATTGAATGGAAATTTATACCTGAACGTGCCCGTCACTTTGGTGGCCTCTGGGAGGCAGCAGTGAAATCACACCTCAAACATGTCATCCACGAAACTGACATTTGAAGAATTTTCTACTGTCTTGACTCAAGTAGAGGCATGCCTAAACAGTAGGCCACTCACTCACCTACCCCATGCCTGTGATGCGACACCATTGAAGTTCTCACCCCAGGTCACTTCCTCGTCGAGAAACCCCCTGGAAGCTCTTCCAGGCCCTTCTCTCTCCTACCGTTCAGTCTCTCTCCTTCGTCGATGGCACCTATGCCAGTCCCTGGTTCGTCACTTTTCGAAGAGGTGGTCGTCCGAGTATGTTGCTACTCTCTGTCATTACACAAAGTGGCACCAGCCCAAAAGAAACGTACAAGTTGGAGACATAGTTGTGTTGCAAGAAGATGTCATTCCTGCGAAGCAGCCTTTGACACGCATCCTGGAAGTTCATCCCGGGAATGACGGACTCGTTCACGTCGTCACGATCAAGACCAGCGCTGGTGTATACAAGAGACCCGTCATAAAAACTAGCTGTGCTTCTACCTCGAGATTAAACACTTATGGACACATCGTGGTATCATTTAACATGGCTTGGTAGTTATTGTTAAGACCGTCTGGTCTTGGCCAGCGGTATGTTGGTGCTCTATAATTTATTTCTATCATTCCGGTCAATTAGTTTTTTTTTTGTACTTACATTAAATATTAGAGACGTGGATAATATTTTGTGGAAATTGCTACGTTGAACGCTCTTCGAGTAGCGCGCCGTTAATCCGCGCAATGCAGAGAGCAAGAGCCGCTCAACAACCACGGTGACTATGAATTATTCCCAAGCTATTCAGTTTATGATCGTTTTAGCATGCAGTTCATTCGCGGCTGTATGTTACTAAAAGGAGGATTTTCTGAAGTTCAACGATACCCCAGGAAAAACAATACAGACTTCGCCCATCCAATCTTCAATAGTGTAACAAAATAATAATGTGTCCCAATAGAAATTAACACCTGTATCAATAATTACCTGAAAAAACTTAAATAGGGCATCGCTGGAGTACTTTATCATCCGTAGGATACAACCACCCAAAATGGGTATATCTGGAACACAGGAACAACAATGGTCAATTTTTGGTTACATAATATAGAGATTAAACAGGGGTGCTCAGGTGGCATGGCTTGTATATTGTTGAGGAGAGACAAGCATTAATTATAAGAAGGTCCTTTAGTAGTGCAAGCAATATCTCCAAATACAATATAATATACATGGTGCATGGAAGATCAAATGATGTTGAAATGGCACTAAAGTGCAAACCTCGGCGAACTGCGCTTGCGCGATACCGCTAATTGATGGGCTGGGCGGGTTTGGGTTAGTACGTGTTTACTCGTGGTCTCCCGCTAGTAGCACGCGGAGAGTCTGACACGGGCTAGCTTACAGTAGTGATGCATGCGGGAGTCGATACACGGCCCTCGTTTGTACGTTTGTGCTCCAAGGTACGCAGAGCAAGCACATCTTGTTGATGTAAGCCGTGTGCTAATTTGCATATATTGCTTGTTAAACTTGGTTTCACGCCATAACTTTTGAACGCAGCATTTTCCGAAACGCCAGTTTTAAAAATCAAGCAAATGTAGCGCCGAAACCCGTTGGCGTAGACTTTTGCGATCTTGTTGCGGCCTAGTGGCAGAAGACACACAGACCAAGTACTGTAATTACCCCTCTAGCGCATTTGCGCCAAGGGTTAATGAAGTGTTGAGAAAGTTACTGCATTTACTGTGTGTGTAGCAGGCATCTCCAAATCCCAGAAGAAAGGCACAAACCATTGCAATGTATAAGCTGAAGAGTAGGACAAGAGTAAGACAAAAGTAAGCAAATACACACTTAGTGGGAAATTAATGCACATGCAGCACTCTTCTTAGCATAAGGATGGCAATGATTAATTTAAAACTCCCTTGTAGTGTCGATTAGGCAAACCCTCAAGGAACTGGCACTGCGGATACCGCTAATTGATGGGCAGGACTATTAGTATGCGTTTACTCGTCGGCTAGTATGCGTTAGCGCGCAATGAGGTCTGACATGGGCTAGCGATAGCAGCATGTGGAAGTGGAACACACCATTCGTTGTGACTTCTTGTGCTCCAAGGTACACAGAGCAAGCCAACCCGGCCGAGGTACGAGCCTGTGCTAATTTGCGAGTAGGTCCCTGTGGCTTGTTCACTGGCTTTGTACACCGTCGCATATAACTTATTTGAACGCGTAAGTACTTAGTTAGTCTAGTCGATGAACCGTCTGTGTATCTGCTGTATATTTGTTGCACGTGAAGTCGCTAAGGACAAATATCGGCTGGTAACCGACGAGACAGACTAGACAGATCAGACGATGACAGATCAACGCAATGTACACGTAATCCAAATCGCTCTGCGCATGGCGTGCCCACAGAGGAGTTAATTAAGTAGAATATTTTCGTCCTGTGAATTTTTTCCAACAATGCATTTCCCAAAAATGTGAAACTCATGACATTATGATACAAGTAATTATAGTATGGTGCATTAGGATGGAATAAATCTTAGAATGGGAGATCGTAAGACAGAGTTTATCGACTCCTTGCTGTATGTCATGCTGATACACTGGCTCCATCCTATGTGACTAGAGCAGCTCGCTTGCGCTCTTGTGACATCTTTCCCAATATACAAGTTCCATATTGTCGCAAAGCATGGGCATGTTGCCTCGTAATACAATGACTAATTTCCTCAGCACATGAGACAAGTAATGCACATGTGTTGCCCCTTCTGACAGCTTCTCAGTTTATTGAGTTTGTACTGCATAGTTGAAGACATTCCTTTGGCCAGTCCTACACCACATAATCACTGACAAACTCATGTCAGTGTGACAATACAGGGCTTGTGTGCAGGAAATGTTTTCACGAGCAAGCAATGTCATGGGTGGTGTGGTTCCTTCTACGCCAGTGCTTCCACCGGCTAATTTAATTTCGGTTCCAACCTCCTCTAGCTCTGCGCGTGGATACTGCACACGCACACAGAGGTACGTATATACTAGTTTTTCAACGGTGAGCTGCTTATGGAAAAAGCGCCCAAAGGCAGGAATGATTCCGTGGCAAGTCTCAGCACATAGGGTTATTAGGTTCAAGTTTGCTGCTTCTATCATGCTGAAATGCAGTGTGGTGTAGTGGCTCATTATGATGGTTGTGAGCACTTTCAAGACCATAGTAGCTCCACTTTTCACATACCACTGACTTAAGTTTATACTGTGAAGTGTATTATATTTTGCCAGTCCTGCGTTAGCTAGAACCCACATGTCATTGGTATTATGGGGTGGGTGCTTATTATGATTCTGCATAGAAATAGCTGGCCAGCAAGTGCTTTCATAAACTGTTTCACAGTGGTGTGTACTACTACAGTGTACTACGTATCATAATTATCTCATTTGTTTGCAGTTTTCGTTTTACGCCAGTTGATATTGAACACGTACAAGTACTTTGAATAAAGCTAAAGTGTCCAGCTACATCACATTATGCATGGTTTTAACCCTGTTATGATGCGCCACACAACATGCCGTGTGCAGTAGACAAGCTTACAACTGTCCATGGCGAAGTGTGATTAGGGCCCACTGAAAGGGATACAGCTATTTTTGGCACAGCTAAAAAATGATTCACCGTCCAGGACTTTCTGTGTGACATTGTTCACTTTCCTTTGCTTGTTTCAAAACCTATGGAAAAGTCTGCTAGATCGCTACGTTTACGTTTACGCATGGAATCATTCCTGCTGCGTGCCGTTCTCGCGTTTGCCTTGCGATATCCGGCAAAAGTACGCATGCGCGAACTGTAGAGAAGCTATTAATCTGCAAAGTGCGTAAACCGTCCCTATAAACGCCACGCCCACACAAGCACGGATGACGCCGCACACGTCACACGTACCACAATATTCAAAAAGGCTAACGCCTAGGCACGAATCACAGTATTAGCACAGCAAGAAGCGTACCTGAAGATATCTCTACAAACCCCGCGCTGTACTCAGCAGCTAAGAGAAGTTCGTTTGGATTCCGGGGTTGGCACATGGACGTTTTTGTAAGTACTCACCCAGCTCACCTTAGTATTGTCACTTTCACTACGAGGAACCATACGTCAGATGACAAGTTAGGAAATTAACTTCCAAGCTTCCGGGTGACACGTAACCCGGGAGCTGTGCATGCATGTCAGCTGACGCCGTATGATGTATTATTCTTACAGGGCCAAGTCAAAGGTGGTCAATATTGTACCTTTTTCAAGGTCAGCCATGCAGAATGTGTTTACATTATAGTTGACTAGTGATTTTCTCCATGCAAAAATTCCCACAGGTTAGAAATGTCTAATCAATTATGTCGCTATTTGGCTTGTAACTCATCAATTGGAATTAGTTACAGCAAAGGTGAGACACAACTGCTCTATACTGAAATATGTTCATAATGATTTATCCCACAGGAGCCTGAGGAAAGCCTTAAAACTATTATTGATGTAGCTGTAAGTTAGTATTGTACTGCACCTATTGGTATATAATCATTCGTAATAATCACAGATGAAGCACTTTTCTCGGAACCTGCTTCTTTCCAGCACCAATTCTTCCATTCAGTTGGTGCAAATAGTGCATAAACATTCTACAGAAAGCGAGGTAGAAGTGCTCTCTGTGTCTGAAGATCAACTAATTTTTTCTAATGTCAGGGATTATGACATCAAATGTAAGAAAATCTGTCATTCAGCTGCATACACATGTGAATGTGAGGTCACAGTGTTAACTATGGTTTAGTACACTTAACAATCACATGTGCAGCTAAAAATTGCATACTTCATTTACTTTCATCCAGCAATATTTTTCCAGATCAACATTCCAACAGGGCCTTATCAGCCCTCAGCATTTGCCATAATGTCAGCTCAAAGAGATACAATCATAACAATTCATCAGCACACCCTCAAACTGGAGGTACACAAACTTTAGTACATGGCAGCTGGGTGCATAGCTATGGGGTCTTTTAACCCTCGATGCGCTTGCGCAGCGAGGGTTACAGTAGTTGTCATGTGTGTCTGTCTGTCTGTTACCCAACATCTCACTTCACGAGCCATGAATCGCTCCACAAACAATACCAGGTATTCAGCGTCAGGTATAGGTCGAAAAGTATGTATGGTTTTCTCTGAAACTGTTGCATTCTAGAGTTACGGCGTGAAACACGAGCGAAAAAGCTAATATGCTAATTAGAACAGGCTTACCTCGAGCGGGTTTGCCTCTCTCTGTGTATCTTGAAGGCACAAGAAGTCACAACGAAGGTCGTGTATCGACTCCCACATGGTATCTACTGCTGTATATAGCTAGCCCGTGTCAGACTCTCCGCGAGCTACCAGCGGCGGGAGACCACGAGTAAACGCATACTAATAGCCCAGCCCATCAATTAGCGGTATCGCGCATGCAGAGTTCGCCGAGGGTTTGCTTTTTCTTGTTCCATAAACTTCCTAGCTCATGCTAAAACTAGGTGGGACCTGCCAGAATACTTAGTGTCAAACCTACTACACCCAAAAAGATTCGGGAGTGTGAGTTTGGACACTTGTGTATAAAAACGTCCTTGGCTTCCTGCAGGAAGGTGTTCAGGTGAATAGCATGCTGCATGCCGTTGCGTCCACTCTTTTGCAGAGCCTGGGAAAATTTACTGGGCATACATCCCAGTGGTCCTTACACAACTGTGAAAGTATAAAATGTGTCTTATATTGAGCATAATAAGGGGAAGCTATGATGTTTAGCTTTTGAGTTAAAAATCATTACTTTTCTTCTTTACACACATTCATACGTGCACACATTACACCAGCCAGTTGGTGAATTATCAGCACTCTCTCTTGAGCTATCACGTTATCATCTTCAAATGTTGGGTCCAAGTACAAACTGCTACCTTAGTGCAAAAGAGGAAACGTGTGCTCAGTGTAACTTGGTTCGACAGCCCGGAGGTGCAGCAGACATAATACAGAATGGAAGACCAGCTCGTTTACAATTCAAGAACATAAGTTCTATGCTGGCTTAACATTCTCTTGGACTAAGAGTTATGTCTGAATGTGTAATTGTATTGGATATTAAGAATTTGTGAGATCTTAAGATGGAAATACCTGACCACCTTTTCATCCTTGGATACCTGGCTTATACTTTTTTTTTGACCATAGGGTTAATGACTATAGACAGTTGGACAGTATTGGGCAAACCGTTTATCATTAGGCATTTTACCACTATGAAGTCAGAAGTAGAAGTGAATGGCATGCAATTACTTTCCAGACACATAAATGGTTACTGAACTCCAAAAAATATTGCAATGTTACACAATAATGTTTGCACAGTATATACTACAATTCCTCGCTCGCATCAGTGTGTGAAATAGACAAACACTGACCAACATATCAGCCTACCTTGAAGGGTGAAATAGCTGACCATATGCATCATCAACATATCCATGAATGGCAGCATCAGGCAAATTGTAGAAAATCAGAAGGAAGCTGACAAAATGGGTAAGCATCCCGAGTAAGACCACTGGATCTCTACCCCAGCGGTTAGTGTAGTTCCCCAACACACCAAAAATTCCTCCACCTAATGGTAAGGTAGCACCGACATGATACATTACTAGTCAGCATTACCAAAAAGAATGTGTATTGTTGGCGACAAAAACATGCTAGTTACATTGCAGCGCAATTATATGTGAGATTTTTCAGTTACATGCATAATCTTAGTACATTACAAATTAACAGAAGCATGCATAGTTCAGATGATAAGGTAGGCTTGCTGTTGCTCAGTAACTACAGTGTCATTTAACACAAGATTCTGCACTATCACATAGTAATGCATGGCGCATTGTGAATTCACACAGTAAGAATTGTGGGCTTGATTCTAAGCCTTAGATGAGGCTACGTAGGTCAGGATTGAAAGGAAACAAAGGCAGTCTACATGCAATAATGCATAGTGGTTTACCACATGCACCTCTTGCAGTGAGTGTGATTGCTTTCATAGTAGGGTATTTATAGAACCAATTGCTACAGCTTGCTATTGCCCACTAATAAAAAAGAATGATGTGCCACCCCAGTTAAATGAAGCATTAAGGTAAATATCAAGCACAGTCATAACCTGGCAGTGCCATGCTACTGCAGTGGTTTCTCTAACCCAGATACAGGCTAGCGAAATAAGTAGATTGAGTTACGATCTTGCCAACTTTGGACGCGATACTTGCCCTTCATCTAATTTCTGATGCATCGAACAGCAAAAAGGTGAGGTAACCCCAGTGTCTATTTACATGTTGGCTTCTTCACTACTTTTAACACAATTGAATACGGTCCTACATGGAAACTTGCTATTTCTTGTGTAACTCAGAGCCGTTGTGTCACCTTTTGCACCTTCATGCATTGTGGCAGAAAATGACAGAACTAGACACACACTAAGTACTGCATTGAAGGTTAGTTAACCAGTTGCTAAGTGGAATAGATAGGTGAGGGTTATGGCAACAGCAGGAGCTAATAAAGCCAAGAAAGAATAACTGCAGCTGTGAATTCCAAAGTCTTGTTAACAATGGCAGAACAGAATAGGCGTAAACCATGAATGTCTACTGTTTGTATGTTATAGGGAAGCAGTTTGTCGACACGTCTTGCAATGTTCTCATAACCTGGTTGAAGAGTGCTGAAGATGGGTCCTTATAATTGGCGAGCGGGAGCTAACCTAGTGGTTCCAACGGCGATTTGTTTTGTGACGGAGGACGGCACTGCACATACCGAAAGGTTTTACGTGATTCTAAATACGCGAAACGGAATGAAATTTCGCAATCGTCTGTATACTATAGAGGAAACGCAACACGGCCAGGCTCAACAGAATCCGTAGCTATCAGACAAGGCGAATTGCCATCGAGTTCCAGCGAGGAGAGAGAGGCTCGCTTAGCGCTACTACGCAGGAATCACTGCCTAGGATGGCTCGTGCAGATACAGTCATTGTGTGCTCGCTCCCACTCGCCAATAATGCCATGCATTCGCCTACCAGTTCATTACTCTGGAAAAGTAATAAAATTGAGGTGTTTCAACCTCATTTACTGACTCTCAAATATTGAGAATTGGTGGATAGAATTGTCTGTACTTGGGCAAGCATCATCAAAACGGTCCTACCCAGGTTTTATTAGGAGGTATATACCATAAATCTCCCCCTGAGGGATAACTGAAGGCCCTAGACTGATCTATGCTTGGATTCACCACAAAAATGTTGTGCATGTGACTAGGTCTTAGATTGAGTGCATATTAGGTATTCACAAAACATTTCGAACACAATCAAGTAACAACATTCATAATGGTGAATACTACTCGCACACACAAACCTAGTGTGTCATACTTTCCTAGTGTGTCATCCAGCCTACTGCAAAACTGGAAGTAAACCAGGGAGAAAGGCTAGTTGATGAAAAACTTTAGTACTGATAGTACCTAGTTTTAAACTATAGAGTGCCTGACAAAGAAGATGATAATCTCTGGATGGATGAGCAGAAAAGTAACTTGACCATAATATGTGTTTCAGCAGGACTTGGCAACAATGCCTAACAGAGTGGAAAAGTGCAATTCTACCAAGCAACTACCACTATTAATTTAGTTTAAGAGTGGCACACCAGGCAACAATATAGGGATTGTGTGATTGGGTCGGGGGGTGTCAGCTTGCTCACATATATATTTCATAAACCATGCTTCCACTCTATCTTGTCTCCCTTTCATACCTATATTCCTTTATACTTACTTGTAAGTGCCTATGCGCTGGCACGTGTTTCGGGTCTATCATCAAAAGTTGTATTTTGTGGGTTTCAATTGAAGACTGAAGAATACAGAGGTGTTCTTAAGAGGGAGTTTCAGATTGGTGAAATCCCACTTGTGTAAGAAACTTCAGGGACAGTTTTAGACAATAAATATATTATATTGGCCAAGGATGATGAAATTAATTGTGCATTTTTTCCATCTCCCTATTATTTTTTTTTATTGAAGTTCCCGCCACAGCAGTATAAACGATGCTGTGAGGTATGTACATGACATACCACAGAAACCCTTTCTCCCTTTAGCAGTTGCTCAGACAACCAAGCTTTTTAAAACTATACAACTATGGTATATACCCCTGAATCTTGTGCCTTACCAATTATCTCTCCAAGGCCAATAAACAACCCAGCCAGTCCAATTGTGTAGTATGAGAATGTATTTCCTGGGAGAGAAAGAGTTTCAGGATTATGTTGTTTTAGCGTTACAGTCTTACCAATTATTGTACCATATACTCCACTCCAAAAGTTAAGTTTCATAGCCTATGTTCGGACAAAGTGTCAACAGAATACATTTCAAATACAAAAAACTCCTACCGGTATATATAAAACAGATGCTAAGTAGTAGCATGTCTTGGTGATAAACACTGCACAGCATCCCTGTATTGTAACTAGAGCTAGATCTGAAGAAGCAATTCTTAGCTATGTACTTACGTATTGCTGTTCCCATACGTTGTAGTACACCTTTAGGGTGGCTATAATAATGATAGGACCTCACTAATCAAAGCACAACATAAAGAAATTACCTATGATCCAATTGGGTATAGCCAGTTGCCTGTAGTGGATATAACAACGTCATGATAAACACTATGTAGGTGTATGTTCAGCCATGGCCTCACATATGGCTTAACCACCCTTTGGTTGCAAAACAAAAAAAAACAGCACCAAAAAAGGAGTTCTAAAATGCCTAGGTTTCTTTCATGCAACAGATAAACAGAATAATTTCATCAGGCTTTGTTTCTCAAATATAGTTCAATTGGACTGGAAAAGATGTGTATGCAAGCACAAAAATGTGCGCAATTGCGTGTTTAATGTGAGGTATGTCATATTCATGCCAGATCCTGATGCTTAACATTAGGGTGGGGGGTGGGGGTTTAAGTAGAAAAACCCTCACATTTATTACTAAAACGCGTGGATCACAATTGCGCACATTATCACGCTTGCGTACATTAAGTGTTGATCCTTTTAAACTATAATATGGGAGTGGCATTATCTCATGATTAGAGAAGCAAAAACAACCATGTTATGTTTGCGACTATTACTATGTAGCAGGGAAAACAGCATGTACACACTTCTCTGTTATTAACATACCGGTCTTTTTACGGGTGTGATAAGGATGAATACCAGCACTCCAGCAATAGCCAGCACAGTTAACCCAGCAAACATGTAATAATTCACATTTGTACCTGCAAAAATGGTTACACAAAGGAAGAATTAAATGCGGTGTAAAAATCAGGGCGGAGGGGGGTGGCGGCACTCTCAACCACTTCTGCAAATAGGTTAAATATTCATCTTTAGGCAGCATGGTAATGGTTGACATTAAACACCAAGCAATAACTTACCAATACAGCGATTGTCGTCATTGTTATCCAAAAAATACAGGAACAAGAAAAGAAAGAGGTTTCCAACCACTAAACTGCATTGATATAAACAAGTCAATGCCAATTAGTCATTAATCACTTTACAACAGGAAAATTACCCTCAACACAAACACATACACTCCCTGACCCTTTTAGGGTTTCTGATAAACACTTGGTGTGATGTGCCAATCAGCCTTGGTTTTGTGCACTTGATATTGTGCATTCAGCTGCAGTCATGCACATGTGTGTTTTAAGATTCGCCCTTATTAACCCTCGGCGGCGCGCATGCGCAGCGAGGGTTATACGGTAGTCGTTCTCCGTGTCTGTCTGTCTGTTACCACGTTTTCTGCCACCACGCGCAACAAACAGGCCAAAAAGCGACACCAACGGGTTCATCGCTACACTGGCTTCATTTGAAAACTGGCGATTTTCGTAAAAGTACCGCGTTCAAAAGTTATGGCGTGAAAAAGCCAATATGCTAATGAGTATATACATCACCATGGCTTACCTCGACCGCTTTTGCCGTCAGGCACATTGCGGAGGATATAGCGAGAATACCGAACGCTGCCTACGGTTCCAGCGAGCAATGCTCGATCGACGGGTGGTAAGCGAGCCGGCGGTTAGTGCGAGCGAGGAGGCAGAGGACCGGGAGAGAGCGAGACATGACAATGCGCATGTGGTGCGCCACGAACCGCGTGCGTGATGAATGCGCGCGTGTGCGGATCAATCACAAACCAACGGCCTGTCCACATGACGTATAAACCCTGACCACACATATTATGCTTGAGAAACGTGTATTGGCGTCATAGCCCCACTGTGGGACTCCACGTACGCGGAGGGTTTAGCACTTCAGTGCCTTTCATTGCGTGGGCGTCGATATTTTAGTTATTTTTTTCAATAGCATGGCTAAAACGCTCGTGAATTATAGTGAATTTTGGTACCTGTCTCGGATTTTTCACTCTTGTTTTACAAGCTCATTAGCATATTCATATTCCTCCTCCATACATTCTCTATGGGAGAGAAAACCAGTGCGCGACTTCACCGGGAGCGAACGGTTCGTCGCATTATGCGCAGTAGCGTTCTTTCCGCCTCCTACGATACGCGCAGGCTAGGCGTATTGAAGCCAGTTTTAAAAAAGGGTGTGGCCACGTTTTGAATATTACGTATTCGTTGAACGCAGGGGCTACCATAGGAGGCGGAGAAAACCACTGCGCATAGTGGAGACGGACCGATTGCTCCCGGTAAAGTCGCGCACTGGTTTTCTCTCCCATAGAGAATGTATTGAGGATGAATATGAATATGCTAATAAGCTTGTAAAACAAGGAGTGAAAAATCCGAGACAGGTACCAAAATTCACTATAATTCACGAGCGTTTTAGCCATGCTATTGAAAAAAATAACTAAAATATCGACGCCCACGCAATAAGGGCGAATCTTAAACCAATTTTCTGCGAGCCTACGACTGCATCACACTGTTTGCCATGCCCACCCTACTTACAGCATAACATTTCCTGTGTAATATTGGGCATAATAATACTCACAGCAACAATAATATTATGTTGCTATGGGCTCACTGTAATATACAGTCAGATGACCATATTGGATAAGTACAAATATTATTGGGGGACTGGACCAGTGGAATCGACTTTGACTCCACGAACTCCAGGATAAAATAATGAGGTATTCATAATTAAGGATGGTTTACTCTACTTATACTCTACCCTCAACTCTACTGCCTCCAAAATGTGTTCATATCTTTGCAGCGTCAAGTGCTGAACTGTAGTTTTGATTTTTGAACGGTACAAGTGTTCAGGGATTGCATCTAGTTTGTAGGTGGCTCTTTGTGGCACATTAAAGCTGAGCTGTGTGGTTTAATTACCCGGTCTGCTCCTACATTCTGAGTGAGAGTATACTGTGCCATAGCACAGTGGTTTAAGGTTTGCCTTTGTGTTGTGTCGTGTTGTAGATTCGAACCCTACCAGCTGAGTTGCCCAAGAGCGCTCACCTAGACAGCAGAGTGTAGTGGGTTCGAATCCCACCCAGGGCAGCTTTCATCTTTTCCTTGAAAACAAAGAGCTGTCCTGGGTGTAGTTGACGTGTTTGTGTTGCTTTGCCTTTCTCCTTTTATACCTAGTCGTTGCCACATGACTAAAGCATTCCTTGTGGCACTCTTTCATATATAACTTCTAATCTTTTTCTTTTGCTCATTTAGGTTCATTCGCAATGACTTTTGTTATTACAAACACGATCTGCCTCCAATGTCTAATATAATATTAATGGAGCATAATTGGCAAGCGAAGCAAGACTACCTAGTCGTCTGAACTGCGCAGTTTTCCGTAATTTATTACAAGAATGCATTGCATTTTTGCCGAGCAAGGCGAGCAGTTTAATTATTTGGTGTATGTATTGTGCATATTTAGAATAACGTATAACACAATGCGCATGTGCGAACATCACATACAGCGAGTTAGCTTCGTTTGCAAAAACGTATTCTATTCTTGCAAGGCTTGCACTCAGAGAGTGCCAAAGTGGTAATTATGTACAAACATAAAGTGAGGTGTGAAAGCGCGGCCCCCAGGAGAACATTAGAAAAGGAGTTCCACTCGGTGTGACTCGAACCAACGACACTAGAAGAGTGTTTCAAACTCCTTTCTTTGTGTTATGCATGAATCTAAGGTATTTACATACGTATTAGCACATGATAAATGTGCTGTGGGCATGTCAGCTTGTTGTGTACATTCCTTGTGCTCAGGCTGAGCACAACCAATGTAATTATGAAGGCCTCGATATTTTTAGCCAGTCTGATAAAATATTATCATGACACATAAAAGTAGCTGTCTGTCTGGGTGCATGCGAAGATGTATAGAAACGAATGTATACAAACTAACACTATAACACTCTCAAAGGTTATTTAAAAATGTGTGCGCTAACTCATTCAGTGTCAGGCTTTAAAAGGGCCTGCATGTGTTTACTTAACCCTCAGGCACTTTCACAAAATCAAACACACTTTGTAAGACCACAGAGTCGTTTCCATTTCTGG